TAGGCCCTATTTAAGAAATTGAATAACCAACTACTGAATGTATTATTGATTCTAATTTAGTATCCTAACCTAATATTGCCAATAAAATTTAATTACAATCATAAGATCAACAAAAACCATAACCTGAATAATAGAAATGTCAATGTTGATAAATGAAAAATAATCATTATTTTTATTATCTACATTAAAAACAATCCAATCACAATCATTTCAATTAATACTAAAATAAATATGATTTTGGTATATTGTTGTTCATCATATCAATTATCATAAATATTCTTGGTTTTGTAAATATTGAAGTATCACAAATAGAATACTTATTACAATAACTTACGTGTTATTTTAAGTGATTTAATTTATAAAATAAAAATAGTAATCACTTAAATTTTATGAATTTAATATTTCTATTTTTATTTTTCAATCTAACTATCGTGATATTTAATATTTTTATATAATACTTTAAATATTTTGATTAATTTAAACTTTTAGAAAATTTAGATGCTTTGGTTGTTGGCTTAAGAATTAATTTTTCTCTTTACCTGAATAAACTTCGAGCGCCTGATTACTTTATAATCCCTTAGTTTTTTCATTTTTAGAAATTTGACGACTTAATATTAATAAGTCTATGATTCAATTTTTAATTGTTAATTTAGGTGTTTTACCAAAACTTAATAAAGTTGTTTTGGCTTTGTAAAATATTAGTTTTCTTTTAATGAAATATCCCTTCTAAGCTTCCCATGAGCAATAATCTATAAAAAAATATGATTTTCTTATTTAACTTTGATATAATTTTTATGAAAATATATATATTATGTTAATAATACTTTAAATTTTTTATTTATCTCGTCATACATTTACCTTTGTTTTTTTTCAGTATTTCTTTAAATTTAAGGTCTGGTGTATATCACAATCTTAAATTAGAATTAGAACACTTTTTATGAAAACTCCAGAGCTAGTAAATAAAGGAGTTTGAAATGCTCCTTAAAATCTTCCTCTTCAATTATTTTATATATATATGAATTTACATAACAAATAAGATACTCCTAAAAACTAGAAAGAAAGTTGAAAGAGAGTGGAAAGTTGCTGAAGATTAGTGATCCTCTTTTTCATACTTCTGTACTTCCCTTTTGGGACGTATTGATGGATCTTTCAAATTTATCCAAATAAAAAGGCACCAACAACCACTGAAAATTTACTATACGGAATTTGTGAGAAACTGTTATAAATAGCTTGTGGGAAGATTTGCTTTAGAAAATATTATAGCTTTTACTCCATCTGAATTATAATAATACTGCCAAACCAGGGAAACAAGGGTTATGACAAATCTCTTGAGGCTAACAAAGGTACTGGCTTTGGGGTTTAAACTGTAGGACATCTATTTTTCATCATTTATTCTTTACATAGAAAAAGTTGAAATGGCCAATTTTATGTTTTGATTACATACACTTAACTTTTACTTCAAACAACTATTTTAGAAGATCTTCTACATAATAAGTTTTCAAATTACTGTTCTCAAAATTAATTAATATGCTGATTATAAGGTATTTATATTTGATTTTATTTTAATAGGAATTTATTTAGAAAGTTATTCATCAATTTATATCTTAAAAATTAGTTATTTAAAGAATTAATAAGCAATTTATACAGTAGTTTATTCCTAGACAACAGATGGCAATGCTATATTATTAAATTGATCTTAACTTTACAAATTATTAATGTATCATCCTTTACCATAACAAAAATTAATAACAATAATTTGACTTTTTTGGAACAAATAAATAAAAATGTTAAATTTAAATATTGATTATACTAAAATCTATATGCACCAAAAAAATTAAAATAACCTAATTGACTACAAACATTAATCTAAAAAATTTATAGGATAGAAATGTAATAATTATCAACACAATCAAGTTTCAATCTCAAATGAATTTATTTATTTTTTTTGGCTTTTATTGATTTTCAAATAACGTTTAAAATTAGTAATGCTTTAAAGTTAGATTTTGTAATTTTTTATTTAACTATGTCTGAATGCTGCTAATAATTAGAATGATCAATTAAACGTAATTGATTAAGAATAATTCATATAAATGATAATTTACCTCTATAATTTATTTTTCAAGAATAATAGACTATATGTTAAATTCATTAATCATAAAAACTATAATCAGTATGTACTTATAAAATAATTTTAAGATAATCGAATAAAGAAATAGTAAACTTGTTAAGTAATTGCAATAAATAAAGTTTGCTGTGTGAGAATCAAATAAAACTATATGAATTCCAATAAGGAATAATAAAATAGATTCAAGTCTTATATAAACATAAATATGATGTATGGACTTTAAATTTCATGAAGAATCCAATAAATTGATATCTGGAGATACTGGTGAATCTATTGTAATTTGTTCAAGTAAAAACAACAATTAATGGAATTCCCCTTACATAATTAAAGGACACAGTAATTGTATTTATTTGCTTAGTTTTGAATAATAATGAAAGTCTTTTTATATCTTGTAGTTAAGATAATACTTTTAAATTTGGATCAAACTAAATGAATGGTTTTGTTAATAAACAATCACTGATCATACTAGTTATGTTTTATCAATTTGTTCAAATGATTAGCAAAATAAAGTAATTACTTGTGGATGTTATAATACAATATTAGTAAAGAAGTATTATGAATAAAGTGAAAAGATGGATAATTAAAGAGAATAGAATTGATGTTGATAAAATCTTATTTCTTTTCTTTGTAGAAATCTCAAATTAATTCTGTTATTCTCAATTCTTATAATTGTTAAGTTAAATTTACGAAAAAAAATAAGGAGATTTTCTTTAAATACAGGAATGAGTCATACTTATAAATCTTTTAAAGATTAGAATCTTTAGCATAAGTTTAAAATGCAAAAGGGATTGATGATATTTGATAAAGTTCACGATCATTATAGAAATCATTTTGAAATTTTGATTTTATTAAGAAAATAATTCCTTTATATATAAAATTCTTTATTTAATTTTAATAATATTTTTGAACCAAATTAAATTTTATTTTGAATAACTTCAGTTAATTGATAAAGAAATGCCCAGCAACACTTCATCTTTCATTATTATTTTAGGATCACTTATCAAGTTAAAGCATCCTGATAACTAAGAATAATCTAAATTATGAATAAAATATGACATAGAACTTCTTTTAATTTATTTTTGAGAGAATTATAACTAACTCCAAAATTTCCATCTAAATTTGATTGTTCAAAAGTAGATTAATTAATCAAAATAAGCAATAAAAAAAATACTTAAACTGTTTAATAACAAGATTAAGATAGATTAATTAAAATAGAAATTTTCTAAGAAATCTTATAAAATTATTTCTTAGATTTATTTTTTATGAAATGAAAAAAACAATATAAAAAAGACCATTAGTAAAATTATTGATATTATCGAAATGATAAAAAGAGGAATTATTATTTAATGTTTACTGGTTAAAAAAAATATAATCAATCCTAAGAGTTCCTATTCACTACTAATAATCTAGTGTGTTTGGAATTTTCCATGCATCATTTTCATCCCATTTATATTTCTTCCATTGGTACTACAGATAAGCAAAGAAGTTCCGCATTTTCAGTCGGTTACTAATTTTCACCATTCCTCTATCATATATATATGATTCGAGTTTAGTTCTTAAACCAAATTTAACCCCCTTACTTTCAATAGGCTTCATACTTCATTTCTAATCTATTCATAGTTTGATTCAGATTCATTTTCCAAATGTTAGGCTCATTTTTATTTACATAATAAGTAAGTCTATTTTTCTAAATATAAATTATTAAACAAACTTATTTCATAAAATTTACTGTAAAATATTCTTTAAAGTAAATAATATGTGTTATATAAATATGATTGGAATTAATATTATTTAAAACTGAAATAGTATAGGTAGTATAGGTTTGAAATATTGTTGCAGCAGTAATAGCTAAATTTTTGATTGTAAAAACTATTAGAATAAATTTCTCCAAATTATACTTATAGAACATTGCATAATATTTCTAAAATGGAAAATCAAGAATTTGAAATAAGAACTAATATACATAGAACTACAGTTGACAATTTCTTCATCATCTTATAAAGATCTAGGGGCATCTTAATACTCATCTCTAGTCGATTCTCCTTATTTTTATAATTAAGTTGGTCATATTATCTGTTTTTATTCTATATCTTTCTGCTAAGGTTCTAAAGATTTATTTTGTTCGAAAGTTCATTCTGGTGATCTTTCCCTGTCTGATTATTTTAATTTACTAATAAATTCTTTGTTAGATTATGAATCAATCATTTGATTATTAAACATTTTTTGTTGTTGCAATAATTCTTTATTGAAGTATGGATTATTCTTCTGTTAAAATATCTTACATATGAGCAGTTAATCACTTTTCTTAAGTTATCTCTATTATTTCTTTTTATAATTAATCATTCCTTTCTTACATAATTAAATATTTTTATTTATTTTCTGGTTATATTTTTTAAATCTTTTATTTTATTTCTTTATCTTTCTATTAATTAACTATTTTAAAATGTGTTTTGAAATCTTATCTAATTAGCATATTACCTTGTTAGAGTATCAATAATTATCCTTAATGTTATACATTTACTTTCTATGATATTTAGAAGTCCTTTTTCCTTTATCAATTGGCTATCATTCTTCGAAATCCATGTTTTTTATCTATCATCTAGAAAATACTTTATAGCCTAATTTTAATTTTTTAATTTTCCTATATATTTGTATTATAGGTGCTCTAAATATATATTAAAAAATTTCTTGGTTGAGATGCAAAAGGCGAAATAAAAGAGGAGGTCTCTCATAAATTTTGAAAACAAATCTCCATTTAAATCTCATGCGACTGGCTATTTTTGGATGGCTCCAGTCGCCTTATGTTATGTAAAATTTAAGAAAAATGTTGGACAATTGAAGACTAAATAGGTACTTTAGAGGTGTAATGATAATCCTAACAATTTAAACACTAATTTTTAAATCTTACTCATTTTAATTTAATTTAATTTCATTCCTAATTATTAAAAATACCTATAAAATATAAAATAATCAAAAATAATATTGGAAAAAAAATACAAAATAAAAAATAAAGATAAATAATTTAAATAAATTTAGTGAAGGATTTAAAAAAAAGTGATAAGTTGATATTTTGATTTTTAATAAAATTTTCCAAAAAAACCGATTTTCTAAATTGTATTGTTAAGCATGTGATTTTTAAGAATAATTTAATAATTTTAGATCTTTAAAATACTTCTCTTCTCTATTTTTTATATATCTCTCTAAGAAAATAATCCCCAATTTCCAATTGGAGGAAGACCTTAAATTTTAGTTTTCTATATCACATTCAAACATAATACCACACACACGTAATGTAATTGTTATATTGTAATTGAACCAAACGCAGGTTTAAAAGCAATATTATTTTTAAATTTAATCAGTTTAATTAATCATAGGGATAAAAATTTAAGAAGATATTAATCAAAAGAAACAGAAATGATAATTTCAATCCTATTGAAAAGTCCAATCTAATATTTCTTGAAAATATTTTAATTGAATAATAGAGTTAAAAAAGAAAATTTCTAAAATAAATTAAATAAATTTTATTTTAAATTAATATCTATTTATGAATTCAATAGCTTATTCAATTATAAAATTAAATAAACTAAAATCAAAGATGTCATCTTACTTTGTATCGAAGCCTGAAATATTAAATCCACAATGACTATATTTATTTTTCTCTAAACTTTTTTTTTCTAAAACAAATTAAATAAAAAACGAAAGCAAGATTGATAATTTTAAGGTGGTTATTGATGAATTAAAGGGCAAACCAAAATATATGATGCCTTTAAATCTTATATTAATATTATAACCTTATTATATGTTAAACCTTCTTTTTGAATAGGAGTAACTAAAAGAATTAATTCAATAATTAATGAGGACTTAACAATCGAATAAAAATAAGAATTATGTTGGTAATTATATAGATAAAAAAATTACTTGGCTCTTTTTCTAATATGTGTAATTCATATTGCATTTTTTTCCTTACGAAACCTAAAACTTTTGATATAACATATAAAATAAATAGAATGAAAGAAAAATTCCTAATATTTAGGATTTAAATTAAAAATAATTCCATTTGAATGTGCATTTAAATATTTAAAAAATATAGGAATGGGAAATATTTGTTCAAATGTATCAAAAAAGGAATTGAAATTCAAGCCAATAATCGATGAAGATTTATGTGATGATAAGGAAAGCGAAAAGTTGTAATTAATGCCTTTGATTGGCAATTTTAATAACATTCAAGAATAAGAATTTACATTTACAAATCCTTTATCCTCTAGAAAGTTAAGATCAAAATGTTAAGTATTATCACTAAAATAAAATGAATTCATGTACATCTTTGATGGAGAAATTCTTAAAATGTAAAATGATTAATTATTAGGAAGAGATTAAGTTGAATAATTTTCTTAAAAACCTGAATTTTTTAATAATTTAGAATAAATTAAATATTTTTAATAGATAGAAGATTATGGATCAAATTAACAAAAATATTATAAGTTGGATTCATATTGGAAAGGAGAAAAACTAATTGAAGTTGGTGGATTCTACTCTAAGAATGGGTTAAAATAGGGTTTGTGGAAAGAAACATTCAAAAATTTTACGATGTAATTCAAATTATAAATTAATTTTAAATAAATAGAAAAACTTAAGTTTATTTCTTAGGTGAATATCTTAATAATAAAAAAATAGGAAAATGGAGATATATCTATAAGAATAAGAAGATGTAAAATATAAATAAATTAGAAGTGGTGGTGGATTTTACAATTAATTTGGCTAAGCAAG